CTGATCTAAACCCGCTTTTGACCTAAAGGGATGCTTTTTGGACGCCATGGTTTTTCTAAGTTTCCAGGCAGAAGAACAGTCAAAATGCAGACAGGGGACAGGACAGAGCACTCGGGACAAAATGTATGTGAAATGGTTTGAAACAGCAATGTTTTACTATGTAAAATTCGTTTTGAAAAAAATGACATTTTTAAAAAAAAATTCAAATTTCCCGCCGCCCGCGGTGGTGCCCGTACGCCCTGACGTCACAGGGACTGGAACACAGAAGCCGGATGCCGGCATCAGCCGGAGGAGATGGCCGGGGGACGCTGCAGGGGACACAGCGCGGGAGCGAAGGACAAGGTAAGCTCTGCAGGGACTCCCTATGCAGCGCCGCATGGTAAGCCCGAGTGTAGCTCAGGGTTACCGCTTTTGGTACAGAAACTTTACCCCGAGCTACACTCGGGAATACCGCCAGGGAGGTTAATGGCTCTGTGCAGTTTGCCTCTCATCTTCACTGTCCAATGACAGCTGGGTGACAGGCATTCATAGGGCACCCAGCTGCCAATGTGTGTTTTGTGCAGTGTTGTATATAAATGGTGCTTTAGAAACTTTTTTTCTTATTTTTAGATAGAGTGGAGAAGGGTTGGAATCTCTGTCGAGATTTTACTACAATTTGGATTCTCACATGCGCAGTGCGGATTGAAGCTCAGGTTTCACAGCTGACAGTTGCTGTTCAGCAGTTTATGTCAGGTTTACATCAGGTTCAGGACAGGATTAGGTTAGGATCTTATCCTGTTCACACATATGCAGTTTAGAAACGATTCCCATAGAAGTCAATAGCCTGTAATCCACACCTGAACCTGAAGGCACTGGTCAGAAATCGCACATGACTCTCTTTCAAACTGCACTGAATCTGCACCACCAGTGCACTGGACATATGTCCAGGCATCATAGGAAGCAATGTTATTTCACATGTTATGCAGATTGGATGTGGTTCAAGCCGCATCCAATTTGCATATATGTGAACCAGCACTGAGAAAGGTTTCTCCCAGCTCCCTGTGCTGCTGACAATGTTTTACCAGAAATGAAGTGAGAGTAACAGAAATAAATAATAAATAAATATAATAGAAATAAATAAGAGAAACACAAATGCAGGGTAAGCGTAGAACCCCTGTCAGATTTAAATTTTTGACTGTGTCCCAGTTGCAAATTTTCTTTGACACTCTGCTTAGAGAGTCTGTTATTAGCAGGATAGAAAGTGGATTTAAATATGAACTCTAGGAAAAATTACCAATTAGTACAACCCCCTACACAAAACACTAAACAGTTAATAACATTTTTCTGATTCTTACCATTTAGGAGAAATGTCTAATTGATTTTCATAACTTCATCTCTGTAATTCAAAAGATAATAGCATCCAAGGAGGAGAAGTAACAGCAGGGATTACATCATATCCTCTCCTATCTGCAGTAAAAGGAAACTACAGTTCCCATCAATCACAAGGAATTGTTGTGAATGTGGGTGGGTGCACTAGGCCTGTACATGTTGAATGTGTCTGAGAATTGTGGTCCACTCACCACTGCAAGTGGGGCTGAATTACATTACTGCTTCCTGGAGAAAGAACTACAGAAGGGATGTGCCAAGGCCAGTGGTTGGGGGAATAGGAGGCATAGCAGCCACAACAGTCTTACAAACAGGAAACCAAAAAGAATGAATGTTTGATTTGAAAATGAATAGGCTATTTCAGAGCAACTACTGCGTAAATCAGAAGATAGATGACACATTCAATGAAGGTAGGAGATCAGCAACAAGGACATGTAAAGAAGTTTTTACCCGAAGGTCTGCTTTAAAACTCTCTGAGACTGTTATAATCCTTCACCACTATACACAACTATAAAAAAATAGAAGAAAGATAAAGTCACCCTACGATTTCACAGTAGTTTTCCTCTGTTAATTGTGCTACAAAACATTAGCCACAGGGTACCATATAAGAATCTATTGACATTTAGCATTATCTGAATCACATTAATAGCACATCTATATACATATATAGCACAAAAATAATTATTTGAGTTGCTAGAAATAGTTGACAAATACATAGTAATACTTATACATTGATACATTTGCTGTAAGATCATTGGTGCGATTACATTCCATTATGTCAAGCTTTCCGTTATTCATTTTGCCACCCTTGATACCTGGTTCCCTATTTTCATCTTCTGTCAAAGCAATTTTACTGTGACACAAAAGAACGCATTGTTCTTTAGTATCTGTTTAGAAGCATCAGTGCCAAAATGCCCAAGGCTAATGTGAGGAAGTGGGGCAGCTGATGACTACAATCCACATACAGCATTGCTGACGGTATCAAACATGAGCCACAGCTTAGATAATACAAAGTTAGGTTGAAAACAATTGCTTTTCCATCTACTTCGACCATTCAAAAAAAAAAAAATTGCATCCTCAAAACCCTGAATCTCTAGATAATACAGAAAAGCCAAATGAACAGTTATATAGTCCAATTTGCTTTAAAGTGGACCTGTCATTGAATTTCATAATTCAAATGAATTAATAGGATTCTTGTCAGCATGAACAAATCATAATATTATGTTGAGTGAAACTAAGATTTCCTTGTTCCACTGAACAAATAAAAATCATACTCCCAGCCTAGGCAGTACGTATGTGCATGGAGATTTCATCAAAACTGATTTCGGCTCAAAAAAAACAGATTTTGGTGTTGGTGGAGCACTCACTTTCAAGTCAAATTTTTCAGGAAAAAAATCAGTCTATTCTATTTTGTATTCTGGTGTCTCTTTTTCTGGGCAGTGCTGAATAGGGTAGTCTAGTCTAGTTTGCTACATCCCCTCTTCTCCGTATTTGTATTTTCCCTATGTTGTGTATTTGATTTTTTTATCTACGTTTTTATCTGCAGTATATAGACTTCAGGCATGCAAGCATAATAAAATATTGCTATCTACGCTGGATCTTTCTGACAGGAGCTGGTCAAAAATTCCAGAGCAAAAAAAAACAAATGCTTATTTTAGTGCAGAATTATGCACATTTGCCATTTAGAAGCGTATGCATGTAAATTCATTCTGTTGGCTAGAATATTCATTTATTCTAGCCACTGGAATGAATTCTCACACATATGCATGCATTTACGTGCATTTACACATGCACATGTGTATGCTAATTAGCTCCTTTTGACAGTTTTTTTCATTTCTGTAAAAAAAAAAAAAAAACAGAAAATAATGAGGCTATTGAGGGGAAGCTTTTGGCTCTAGAACAGGACTAGGATAAATGAAATTACCTTACATAACCCTCATGGGCTATTTAAAGCCCTTTACACCCTTAGCCGTTTCCTGACCTCACTTTAGCCAACAGACACAGCTGACACAGCTGATCACACATCGCAGTAAAGGGCCAATCACAGCAGCCCTTTATCATGTGATCAGCTGTGTCCAATCACACCTGATCACAGTGTAAACACATGTGCCAGTTATTGGCTTTTCCTTTCCTCAGCACTGTCACAGCTCGAGCAAGGGAGAGCAGGTAGCCGGGTCACATTTACACTGGGGACTTCTACACTGATAATCAGGGCACTGAACATCAGTGCCCTGATTATCAGTGCAGCTCCGACAGCGCCAATCAGTGCTGCCAATCGGTGCCCATCAGTGCCTTCTACCAGTGCCCATCAATGCCACCTATCAGTGCTCATCACTGCCACATATTAGTGCCCATCAATGCTGTCCATCAGTGCCACCAATCAGTGCTTCCCATCAGTGCCACATATCAGTGCAGCCACATCAGTGCCTCCTCATCAATGCCATCTCATCAGTACCATCGCATCAGTGCCTATCAGTGCCACCTCATCCATGCTGCCTCATCAGTGCCACCTATCAGTGCCCATTAGTGCAGCCTATCAGTGCCCATCAGTGCAGCCTCATCAGAGAACATCAGTGAAGTAGAAAAATTACTTATGCAAAATTTTATAACAGAAACTAAAGAAAATGTTTCCAAAACTTTCTTTCTTTTTTAAGTTTTTTTAGCAAAAAATAAAAAAACCCAGTGGTGATGAAATACCACACCACAAGAAAGTTCTATCTGTTTAAAAAAATTATAAAAATCTTGTTTGGGTACAGTGTTGCATGACCACACAATTGTCATTGAAAATGCGACAGCGCTGAAAGCTGAAAATTGGCCTGGGCAGGAAGGGGGTAAAAGTGCCCGGTATTGAACCATGAACCGCAATCTTACCTTTGCTTTCAACATTTACTGAAATGCCTGATGTGTGTGTGATAGCACTGCACCAATAGAAGTAAAAATTTGTTCTAATGGATCTACCATTGTGTGACATTTCTTCAAAGAAGCAAAACACTGATTGAAGTCTAGCATGGGTGGACCTTGCTCTGGTCCTAGCCTACTACCTCTCTGATAGCAACAGAAGGAAGTACTTGCCAGATGATAGATTCTTGAATGTATATGGAGAAGCGCCTGTTGCAAAAGTTCATCCAAATTTAAAGGGATTATAAATGCTTATATTTTTTATTAAAATATCAAACGTGTTATACTTACCTGCTCTGTGTAATGGTTTTGCACACAGCAGCTCCAATCCTCCTCTTCTTTGGTTAAGAGCCAGCTCTCCTGGCCCCTCTTCCAACAGTAGATAATTGATGTGGGAGCACTCAAGTGGGCTTGCTCCCAAGAACCGTTCTGTGTCCATTGACACACAGAGCACGGCTTGACCCCACCCCTCCTCTCTCTGCTGTCTCACTGCTGTCTCTGAGCCAATGAGGGAGGGGAGAGAGCCGAGAGAGCTGAGAGAGCTGCTGCTCTTGTGCACATCGCTGGATCAAGATCGGGCTCAGGTAAGTATATAGGGGGTGGGCTGCGGGGGAGATGCATGCAGAAGTTTTTTTTACCTTAATGCAGAGGTAAAGGTAATTGGTAATGCAGAGGTAATGCAGAGGTAATGCATTAAGGTAAAAAAAACCTTCTGCCTTTAGAACTACTGTAAAGGACTTTTTAAAACAGTTATAACATTTATTGGTTAAGAGCATCAGATACAGCCAACGTGTTTTGAGGGAAAAGCCTCCCTCTTCTTTGGGGCTTGAGCAGATGCTAGTCCTCATCAAGCTTTTACACAGGTCCCTTTGTCGATTTTGTTGTGATTTTATGAACATTGATTGCTCAAACCCCAAAGAAGAGGGAGCCATTTTCTCCTGAAACGTGTTAGCTGTATCTGATACTCTAAACCAGTGGTCTTCAAACTGCAGCCCTGGGGCCAGGCGCGGCCTTTTGTTTAGCTTTATCTGGCCCTTGTAGAATTATTTCTGCCATGGACACCAACAATGGGACATTCCTGCAACTGACACCAACAAAGAGGCACTATTCCATCCACTGACACCAACAATAAGGTATAATTCCTTCTGCTGACAACAAAAATGAGGCACCATTCCTCCCACAAACTATTTCTCCCCCCTAATACTAAAGATTGGGCATTGTTTACTCCTACTGAGGGACAGTCCGGCCCCCCTAAATTCTGAAGGACCGTAAACTGGCCCTTTCTTTAGAATGTTTGGAGACCCCTGCTCTAAACCATTAAGTGTTTCAAAAAGTCCTTTAAGTGAGATGAACTTTTGCACCAGGCGCTACTCTTCCAGAATCTACCATCTACTCCAATGTATTTTGACAGTGTTGAAATTTTGCCAATATCTTCAGATGTTCCCCAAAATTTGATGAAAACTCTCAGTTTCACTCATCCATACCAGGCAGCCTTGATCGCCTTTGGCAATCAGGAACATTAGGTGTTACTGGAGACTACAAAGACTCTGCTTTTCTATGTGACTGACTCTAATTGGAAGACTGGCTCCAAGAGTAAAGAATAATGTTGTGCACAATTAAAAAGTAGGAAGCAGCACCTGCATATGTGACGTGCAAATATGACCTCCCTATGTACATTTATAAATACTAACTAAAAAGAAATAAAAATAAGTTTACTTGCATTAAACAAATCACTTAAACATGCATATTAAGTCTTTTAAAAGAAAAATATATTTCAACAGGAGGTATTATTTAGCGAGAACATTGCATCTTTATTTACACAGTTGCTCACAGTTAAGCATTCAGCATTTTTCTTCGATGTACTGTATTTATTTGACATTTTCCAGAACCTTATTGAGCTTGAAAAGGCAGTGCAAAGCAGTGCAATTGCATACTTTCAGCCCAGGGAGCTACCAAAGGTGAGAGGCCCATGAGTGCACAATAGCAACTCCATGTTTACTATAATAGGGAATTATGGGAAAAATACAGCACCATCAGGCCAATTCAGCAGTTTAATGCTTCTGCAGTGAAATCTTCGAGACTGTGATCCTGTGTGCTCTGTGCTAACAGACTCTCCAGTGGGCTGCATATTCTGACCCCATTGTCCAAACTGTCCTTTATTTCTCCATCTTTTGAACCGAATCCACATGTCCCTCATCGTCATCTTCCCTCATCAGTTGTCCCTCTTTTTAATATGATTTATAGATAATATAACTACCTGAAATGCTAAACCTTTCATCCCACCTCTAAAGTACAGGAATTACAAAGTATAGGCCAGTGTAAAGGAAAGGAAATGTTGAAATAAAAACACTTTTGGGTTTTACCAATCACTTTTTGCATGTTTTATTCTTCACGGACTACATTTACTCTGCTCTAAAATATATTCTTCTTCATATCTTAGAAAGTTGAGATGTATGTGATCCTGAACCATATGCTCCCTGCAGGCATGTTGTCTGAATATTTGTGATACTACTTGAGTGCTCTGTATAAAATCTGTTTGTCCATGTACCAGGAAAACCTGAGCAAAAATTGCAAAAAAAGTGTTGGCTCCAGTAAGTTGCATTGTTTAGTTCAGTGGTTTTTAAACTGCGGCCTGGGGGCCAGATGTGGCCCTTTGTGTGCCTTTATTCGGCCTTCAGGGCACTCTTCCTCCCACTGATATGAGACACTATTCTTCCCCCAAAATAGGGGGAAATATTCCTTCCACTGACACCAATGGTAGGGTACTATTTCTTCCACTGACTCAAATGACAGGTCACTATTTCTTCCACTGACACCAACAATGGGGCACTATTCCTTCCATTGACACTAACGATGGGGCACTATTCCTTTCACTGACACCAATGGTGGGGCACTATTTCTTCCACTGATACCAACAATGGGGCACTATTCCTTCCCTTGACACTAACGATGGGGGCACTATTCCTTTTACTGACACCAATGATCAGGCACTACTCTTTCGACTGACACCAACAATGGGGCATTATTCCTTCCACTGACACCAACGATGGGGCACTATTCCTTCCACTGACACCAATGATGGGGCACTATTCCTTTAACTGACACCAATGATGGGTCATTATTCTTTCCAATGACACCACATTGGGGCACTTTTCCTTCCACTGACACCAATGCTGGGGTGCTATTCCTCCCACTGACACCAATGATGGGGCACTATTCCTTCTATTGACACTAATAATGGGGCACTATTCCACCCACTGAAACCAATGATGAGACACAATTTCTCCCACTGAAACCAATGATGAAGCACTATTTCTCCCACTGACACCAATGATGAGGCACTATTCCTCCCACATCTACAGTGGGGCATTATTCCTCTTGCTGACACCAACGATGCACTGTTTACTCCCTATGATGCCAGAACAATTTCTACTCCCACTGGCCACAGTCCAGCCCCTTAAAGTCTGAAGGACAGTAAATTAGACAATTTAGAAAATTTGGAGACCCCTGGTTTAGATTGCCCTAACTAATACTCTGGCTGACTTAAGGCCTATCCTTGGACCTGTTACTTGGACCAATTACTGTTTGTCCTGACCCTCTGCCTGGTTCCTGGCTATGCCTGATTGGTTTCAACAAAATGGCAGCCGGCTACACACACAGGCACCATCTCCCTGTTGCATAAATGTGAATGAAATGGGTGAAAGATGGCTTCAGCTCCTGTTCATCACCATAGAGAACTCCTTAGTCATGTTTCGCCTCTTTTGGGGCTTAAACATAGAGGCCTCTAAGGATAAACCCTGAAAAGGGCAAAACGCATCTGAGCAGTTCTCTACAGGTGGAGAACAGGAGTTGAAGCTTTATTTCACCCATTTCTTTCAATCAGGGAGTTGTGTCTGTGAGCAGATGCACCATTTTGTTGAAATCTAATGGAGCTTGACAAACTGATCCTGTCTGTCTTGCATTAGTCTATCCACATGCTGATCTGACTGATACAGGTTTGGGAGGCATTTGAGAGGTACTATTTTCATTGCTTTATGCCTGATTGGTGTTTGCCTTGAATTTTGGTTTCAGCTTGCCTACATTTTGGTCTCTCATTTTAGTGCTTTTACTGGTCTTCTGCACATTCTTTAGAGGTCATTGGTGGGACTGACACCAATCCATCTTTCTTCACAGGCTTGAAGTTTGAAATTCAGGCACTCCTTAAACTCTGCATCTTGGTGTAAGCTTGTGTATACCAATGGCCTACTCTATGTAGTGGTGCCAGAACTAAATATTGGCAAGATATAACATTCACAATCAAGTATAGCGCATGCATGTGACAAGATTGTGCCATAAATATGTGCTCTTCATCATTCTTGTCAGAAGCAATCATTATACATTACACACTACTTGAAGGGTCATTCTGGGTGCAGCTGTGCAAGGGCCCTCTGGGACCTGAGGACTCATTTACATGGTAAGTTAGTTCGATGGGTACCGAGGCACCCTGCTGTCACCTAGATACTGGCTCTAGAGCAAGTGAGAAGTGAGATTTATTCATCATTCATCTGTCAGGCCACAATCGACTCTTTCACTTTCTGCCTAAACAATGCCTAGACATTAATATTCTCCAATTTCCTTTATTAACCCTGTAAGTGAAAGGGATGCAACTGCCTTACCCCAGTAAATTATAGAATGAACTGTGGGCAGGACAGTGGCTAAATGGTTAGCACTTCCACCTGACAGTACTAGGGTCGCTGGTTCAAATCCTAACCAAGGCACCACCTGCCTGGAGTTTGCATGTTCTCCCTGTGCCTGCGTGGGTTTCCTCCAGGTACTCTGGTTTACTCCCACACTCCAAAGACATGCTGGTAAGCTAATTGGCTCCTGTCTAAATCTAAGGGACCTTAGATTGTACACCCCTTGAGGGTTAGGGACTGATGTGAATGTACAATATATATGTAAAGCGCTGCATAAATTGATGGCGCTATATAAGTACCATAAATAAATAACTGTTTTAAATATTCCACTGAAGTACAGTCTTCCTACTTGGGAGATACTGTTGCTTCACTGGTTAAGTCAGTGAAGTAGTATATTGTCCAGTACTACTGAACAGTAACCAGATCATTGAATGACCTGGCCCAATCCATATATTTCTGACTGATGCTGTTCTCTATTCTTTACCAGCTCATCAGTGGTGCAGTGGATTTATAATCTGCTGGGTGAAGCTCTGAGCTACCACATTTTACTCCTTTGAGTGTCCTCAGGGATCTACATACCTATGGTTGACAGACACTTAAAATGATACAGTCATTTTTAGGGACACCATCACTGTTCTTCACAGTGGGTTCAACACAACAGAACTTGGATATCAGATGATGGTGGTGTTGTTACTGTAAGGGACCGCCTGGCGGTACCACTAGCACTCCACTGAATAGGCGTCCCCAGCGCACGGAGTCTAAGTCCCAGGGTGCTTGTTCACCAGGGCCCCTGATGGTGGGGATGGACTTGGAGCCCCCCCCGAGACCAGGTCGTGGCTACTGGGTGCGTCCGTCAGTGGTAGTGGTATGCGCCAAGGGCTCCCACGGGGAAGAGTCTGATATGAGGAGGTCAGAAGACCCCACTGCAAGGGATGGATGGATGAGCAAGGTCAGACGGGCCGGGTCGGTAACAGAGAGGACGGCAAGGTACAAGGCAGCGGGCATAGAATGGTCGGGTCACACGCCAGGTCAGCAACAGCAGGTCAAATCCAATAGGGGGCATCCAGGAGAGAGGTCAGGC